TAATCTACTCTTCTCCTATGGAAACATAATTTCTTAATGCTGTTGTTGCATGTATTCAAAAATCCAAAGATTGTGATCTAAAAAAGCTGAAAGTTTTAAGATTTCTTATTTTTTTACACAAGCAAACACAAGAATATGAATATACTTCACATTTGTCTTTTATCATTACTCTGATGAAACATCAATAACAAGTGTTTCCATATAACAATCCAACAATAAAGGCAGCACTGAGCTTCTTTTATACAGTAATGGGAAACACGGGAGGACACAGAAAGCCCCAATTCCACATGTGTGATACACTTTATTATGACCAACTTGGACATGCATGCTCACCAACTACTCTGGAGACAGATGGTAATCAGTTAAACATGGCAAACTGATCACCCACCGTACGGTACAGTCCTACAGCTTTTTCAGATTCACTTTTTAGAAAACCATTTTCCAGAAATTTTCCAGAAATTTTCCTGGACAATTTTCCTGACTTGTCCACACAAAAGCTCACAAAAGGTCACTTTGAAATGACAACATTATCAACAGAACAACCCTTAATGACCCCTCACTAACTAGTGCAGAGGCTGGCAACCCAAATGTTAAGAAGAGCCATTTTGCCCTTTCAACAGAAACTAATCCGCCTTGGGAGCCACAAAATTTGATGTCTATTTGTTGAAGGAATAAAAAAATGTTTTACCCTCAGTATGTGCTAAAGTCCTAGTGTACACTAAAAAATATAAACGAAAATGCAGACTTACTTCGCTCTGCTTTAAGCTTAAGCACAGCTTTACCCGCTTTTCTTGCATCTCCAGCAGGAAACTTCTCCGCAAAAGTAAAATATGTTCTTGTAAAATATCTCACAACGTTTGACTTTTTACGAGGCTGAAATCAGCTCCTCATTTCGCCAGCTTCTTGTTCGAATTTTTCCTTTCCACTTTAAATGGTGCCTGAGTTGCCAAAATGTACCTGCTGCACAATTTAAGGTGGAACTGGGAAATTTGAACAAGAAGCTGGCGAATGAGAAGCGACTTCAGCTACGTGACTTTTTAGTGTTCGTCTTAAATCTTTCGCTTTGCCTTTTCGTTAGATACTAGCTAGGCGAGATTGTGGTCTGTGTTGCTATGGTGACAAGCAGTCTGTGCGCCAGCCTTCAGGGTCAAAGACCATTTATTGTTAAACTGTGTTGAACGATCAGCGGAGCTTTATTTTACTGTAAAGGAGGATTATTTCATTTTTACCCACAAATCTAATTCTGCTGTGGAGCCGCATGTTGCCAACCCCTGAACTAGACAGACAGGTGCTTATTGCGCTTTAAAGCCAATCTCATATGATCTTAAATTTGTTTATTTGTATGATTATGGAGAGTTATTTTATTATATTCGCTCATCATTGCCAAATGTCTCCTTTAATACCAAAATGTTTAAATATTTAGTGTTGGTATGTCATTAAACACTGTCTTGACTTAATGTTCATTTTGGGAAGAAATTGTGTTTCTATAAATTGTTACACTATAAATTTCAAATTTATGGCAAGTGAGTATCACTGTGAATAAGTGAATATAGGTCTCATTGCCTAACTGATAACGGTCAAGAAAAACACATATCAGTCAACCCCTAATCACAGTTTCTTCTAAAATATTAGAAGGGAATGTTATACTTTTCAAGAAGCTGTCATGTTTTATGTAGCCTCATGCTTTCAAGCGTTCCAACAGTGCAAACGTATCTGCCCAAATATGTATTCCAATCTACAATATGTATGGATGGACACTCAAACTGGGGATTAGCAGGTGAAGTATGCTAAAAATATGCAAAACAGTATATTCTACCATTTTTTCTTATTTCCTGGTTGTTTTGCATGACTATAAACTTCCAGGTTTTCCAGGACATGGGATCCAGGGCAATATTGATATGCACAGCTGTGCTCTTACGACAATCGTATGTTTAATTTCGAGTGTAATGATTTATAAAACATGAATCTGACGTGTAAACGTGCAGAGATCAGTGTGATCTGGCGTACAAAAAATTCCTAGTGGTAGTGCGAATGTGCTACAGGCATTATAGCATGTGATTTGCATTTTTATATGTTATCTTAAGAGCAAATTATGAATAAAATTTGGGTGCACTTACATAAAATGAGGCCTCTGGATCTTTGAACTATGTCTTAGAAGAACCATTTCTGGTTCCATGTTTTAACAAGGGTGTCCAATTAAGGCAGCGGCTGTGCAGGACAGGGAAGTCAAAGGTCATTTTCCATGCTGGATTCATTCATGTCGAAGCCCCGGCCACCATGACATCATAGCAGCTGCTGAGCATGGTGATTACCAGGTGTTCCAGGATATATGGGAACCCTGTGTCTTTGAACTATGCATTAGAAGAACCACATTTGGCTTCAACAAGAACCATTTTTGAAAAAGAGCGTTGTTAGTATGAAAGGATTATGAAACCTTCAGATGGTTCAATACCAATTTAGGGGTTCCTCCTGGAACCTTTACATTATGTGGAGGCTCTTCACACACATACATCATCTCAGTTACAAAGGTTGACACCCACGGAAAGGTTCTTTAAGGTGTTCTGGAAGGTCTCTCTCTCTCTCTCTCTCTCTCTCTCTCTCTCTCGTCTTATCTCTAGCCCAATTTGCTTCAGTCTATTTTACAATCGTTCAATAAGTACATAAAAATATATTAAAAAGATTTTGGAACGTACTGGTGATATAAATATGAGCTTCCCTTAATCATTCACCAACATGGGAAAGATCAGAGAAAACACAAATGAAACAAGATAAAAGTGTGTTGATGTTCATAAATCAGGGAATGGCTATGAAAAACAGCTACAGCACTGCGCAAAAGTTAGGAGATCACCATCTTCAATTTCCAGTCACAACGGCCATTCGTCACAAGTTAATTCTTTTTATCTGCCTTGCGAATTTCTTTCTCGTGTGCACCTAAAATGGCTCTTGCTTCAGATCTGAAAACATCCACAGGTGTTTCTGTCCATCCTTCCACTGTGAGAAGACGACTCAGCGCTGTGGGTCTGAGAGGATGTGTAGCTGTTCAAGAAGAACCTAACTGAGAAAAAAAAACTGCACTAGATCAGCAAAACTGGCCGATTGAGGTGTGGAGTAAGGTTTAATGAAATTTGACGTCTGTGGAAGTAATAAGAGTGTGTACGTCGCCAAAGGGATGAAAAGCCGTCAAAGCCATGTCTACACCCATCAGTTGAGCCGGCCGGAAAATCAGTGCAAGTTTGGGGATGTATAACAACATCTGGAGTTGATTAAAGGCTAATAAGCATAAATACATTTTAATACATCCTGCAGGACCCTCTGGAAAATTATTGATTGAGAAGAAATTAATTCTACAGCAATATAATGACTCCCAAACACACTGCCGAGAAGATCATGATGTACTTATCAAACAAAGAAACTGCTGGTGTTCTCAGAACAATCGCCTGTCCACTCCAGAGTCTGGACCTCAATTTCCTTGAATGCATTTTGGATTACTTGGATTGTGAGAGGCAGAAAATGAAGCCAACTGAACTTAGAACATGCAAAAATGTCCCTGCAGAAAACCTTGATATAAAGGTTGAGGCATACATTATATTTTTTGTGCAGTATTATGCACATCCACATCCACTATTAGCTTAATAATTAATCGTTTTAAAACAACCAGAGCTGTAGTGAACCTGCCTGGAAGAGGATGTACGTGTGTCTTACTCCCATGCATAGTAAGGGGAACTTTTCCCCATTTCTCTTGGTTCGAGATTTGATGGTTAAAAGATGGTACAATTTTGGGGTTAACAAGTCTATAAACTACAGATTAGATGCCACTGCCAACAAAGAATTTAGAAGGCCTTTTCTTTCATCTAACCACAAATGTAAGCACCTGGAGTGCTAAACACTACTAGAGCTTTGACTGGAACCACAACTATGATCAGATAAGTTTGGCAATAAACACTCAAAATGGGCTTGGCATGTAAAGAAGGACGGCTATACAGAAAAGGGCCTAACTCCCACTCTTAAGTGTGGTGATTCTGGGACTGTTCTTCCTCTAAAGGCTCTGGAAACCTTATTAGGACACATGGTATCATGGACGTGTTGACATAAGGAGCTAAAAGCTTCCAGCTGGACAATGATTCAAGTTTTACTTCCAAACTCACACAAAAATTGGAGTTTGGAAAAAAACAACTGCAAAATCAAACTTTACATGGCCACTCCAGATCTGATCCTGATCTAAACCTCATTGAAAACCAGTGAGGTGAGCTGAAGAATCCAACAAAGAGGACCTGGGATCCTGGAGGATCTGGAGAAACTCTCTATTGAGCAATGGTCTCAGACTGCTTGGTCTGTATTCTCCAATTTCATGAAGAGATTTAGGAGAAGACACATTGCTACTCATTGTAATTAACCACAAAGACACTTCTTCATTACCTTTTTTACCCATCTTTACCAAGGGTCTTAATAATTATGGCACAGGCTGCATAACATGCATAAATACATATGTCCAAAATGTCCAAAAGTATCCCAACAGTCCTAAAGTGAATTTAGCTACACAAAAAAACACATTGCCAGGAAAACGGGAGACGCTGGAGAAGCTGGTCACCATGTCCAATGCCAAGCGTGGGGGTAGAGGGGTATAAAGCCCCCCATCATTGAGCTGTGGAGCAGTGGAACTGTGTTCTCTGGAGTGATGGAGCTCCATCCAATACCTTTGGGATGAGGTGGAGTGATCCAGAACTGACCATCCAACATGAGTACCTGACCTCACTAATGCTCAATCAAATCCTCACAGCAATGTTCCAACATCTAGAAACCTTTCCAGAAGAGCAGAGGCTGTTACTGCAGCACAAGCTCACTATTAACACAGTTCACTGCAGAAGAAATGCAGGAGGAGCAGTGTCCACAAACTTTTGGACATAGATAGACATACATATTTTTGATATAGAGGAACAGAGACAGGTAATAAAGCTATTATACTCCGTCCTCTGTTATCTCTGGGACTGTGCTTCACGTACCTGAACACTGGAAGCTTTTCAACAAAGACGTTGACCTGAAGACGCTTTGCTGCCCTCACAACAAGTCCCGTGAGCTTTGAAAAGAAAAGACAAGAAAACACATTAATAATACTGATACAAGATCAATGTCAATATCTTATCACTCTAAACCATTTCACTGTATTAAAAAAGCAACCAGCAGGTCCCAACAGCTATCATTCATCAGTAACGGCAACTTGACACGCGGAAATAATAGGGCATTGTACTAAACCTATATTTATCTTTGTATATGATGGTCTAATGTGCTAATTCCTGCCTAGGCTTTGTAATGTTATTGTTACACTGTGTTTGTTTACATTACAGATTGCAACTAGATAGATGTTTGCTGCTTGTTTTGCTTAGCAGCCACTATTATTTGGGAACTGAAACGTGACCAAACGGCTAAACAAAACAAAAGCCTGGCCAATAGTAACAATAGTAAACCAAGAACAACAATGCTACCCGTCACAGTTGTAAACCACAAATGAATGATTTATTTTCCATAGTGGGACAAATATGATTTGTGTTATCATATTTGTGCAGAGTGCAGGCTGTTTCAACCAAGCAGGAAAAGAAAAGAAAGACAAAAAAAAACATACACGCCAGATCAAATGTTTTGGGACACCTTGTCTTTGAATGTTTGAGACTTACTCCTCAGAATTTCTGCATAATTCAACGGTTCACTGTAGAGAAACTTGTGGTGAAAGGAAGCAGGGGTCATGTTAGCCTTTTTTTACTGTCTAAAATGACCAGCGAACCTACATGTGTCTTAAAAATGTAAAAAAGAGTTTTACATAAAAATGAATTACATATATACACACACATATACACACACATATATACTTGTAATTTTAGGTCATTTCTTTGGGTCCATTCCTCATGAAATTTACACACAATGTAAACGGCAACATGCAAATTTCAAATTATGTCAAAAACTGAAGAATAACAAAAATGGCAATATGAGGTTTTGTTCCGACAGCAGTGAAATATATATGTATACCAGAGCAGTTTATTAGGAACACCTGTACACCTGTATATTCATGCAATTATCTCATCAGCCAATCGTGTGCCAGCGGTGCATAAAATCAATGCAGATATGGGCAGCAGTTTCAGTTAAGTTACAGAAAAGCATCTCAGAACACACAACATGTTAAAACTTTGAGGTGGATGGGCTACAACAGCAGAAGACCACGTTGGGCTCCACTTCCGTCAGCCAAGAACAGAAAGCTGGACAGCTGAAGACTGGAAAAACATAGCCTGGTCTAACGAATCTCGATTTCTGCTGTGGCACACAGACGCTAGGGTCAGAATTTGGCCCCAACAGCATGAATCCATGGACCCAACCTACCTTGTGTTAACAGTCTACGCCGGTGGAGGTGGTGTAACGGGGTGGGGAATGTTTTCTCGGCACACTTTGATCGGGATTAACGAGCCCAATCATCGCTTGAACGCAACAGCCTGTTTGAGTGTTGTAGCTGATCCTGTTCATCCCTTCATGGCCACAACTTATTTATCATCTTCTTACAGCTACTTCCAGCATGACAATGCACCATGTAGCGAAAGTCGTCTCAAACCGGTTTCATGAACAGGACAATGAGCTTAGTGTTCTTCAGTGGCCTTCATAGTCACCAGATCTGAATCCAGTGAAACAGCTTTGGGATGTGGTGGATCGGGAGATTTGCAGCATCTGAAAAATCTGCAAGATTTGCATGATGCTGTCAACAAGTCAACATGGACCATCTCAAAAGTATGTTTAACATCTTGTGGAATCGATGCCATGAAGAATTAAGGCTTTGTGAATGTATACATACATACATACATACATATGTATACACATATTCACATTACACATCTCATATATATATATACACACACACACACACACACACACACACACAGACAGACACACACACACACACACACACACTCACAGACAGACAGACACACCTCCACTAATCATGCGCAAATCTGAACAAATTTAGATTATGACCATAACCACAACAACAATGCCAGGGCAATAAAACAAAAGCAGAACGACAGGGCAGCCCCGCAGTAATTCATGATAGTTACATTTGATTGGCTCCCGTCACGAAACGGACAACAAAGCATGAAGTTTATTCATCCGACCTAAGCTATTGCTGCATCGTTACGCGATGACTAAAGTGTAAGAATGACATCAGACTCTGGACACGTTGCATGGCAGTAACACACTGCAGAAGACTGAAGCACCCTTAACCCCAACTAGCAGCTCACTGACACAATCGTGTTGAAAGTGCAGACTGTAAATTTTCAATCCATACCACATTTGTGTTTGCAAGTAGAAGAAGAGATATATTCTTGAATTTAATAATAATTTAAAAATAAGCAATAAAAATTAACTATTGTGTGTAGTTTTGCTTTACAGAAAGAAAAAAACGCTTTAAATGCTTTTAAATGTGTTTTTGCCCTATTTTGGCATAGGAACGATTAAAAAACGTCAGAATTTTAATCTCAGATGTTTAATTTCATTCTGTTGTGTTTTTCCAGCTCCTGGGCTGCTTTACTGTTGCTCACAAAAAAGACTGTAGATGCGGGCAACCAGTAACACTTTGACACAGTAAGGGCCACTTTGACACAGTAATGGCCTAGCAACACTTTAGCAATCACCTGAGATAATGTAGCAGTTCTGGGATAGCACAGCAATGGTCTACCAACACCTTAGCAACCACCTGGGATTGCATAGCAATGGCCTAGCAACACCTTAGCAATCACCTAGGACAGCATAGCAATGGCCTAGCAACACCTCAGCAACCGACTGGAATAAAATTACAATGGATTAGCAACAATGTAGCCATCACCTATAATGGCATAGCAATGGATGAGCAACACCTTAGTAATCACCTAGGATACTACAGCAATGGCCTAGCAACACATTTGTACCTTGGGATATCATAGCAATGGCTAAGGCACACCTTGGATAGCAGAGCAATAGTGTAGCAGTACTTTAGCAACCACCTGGGATACCAAAGCAGCAGCCTAGTAACAACTTAGCAACCACATGGGATACCATAGCAGCCTAGCAACACCTCAGCAACCCCCTGGGATACCACAGCAGCCTAGAAACACCTCAGCAACCACCTGGAATACCACAGCAGCCTAGCAACACCTCAGCAACCCCCTGGGATACCATAGCAGCCTAGCAACACCTCAGCAACCACCTGGAATACCACAGCAGCCTAGCAACACCTTAGCAACCACCTGGGATACCACAGCAATGACCTAGCAAGTCTGTTGTGTTAAGTGCCTAGCAAGTCTGTTAAGTGATTTGCATAATTGTGTATATTCATAGATCTTCACATCCTTAAATGACTGTTGATTTTAGGGCCGCTCCTATACCATATTTTGTAGTTTCCTGGGCATAATGAAAATGCATAGAAATTTGTCATCATTTATTATAGATGAGATGGCTTTAGAGGTACTTTAACATGAAGGGTCTATACAAAAAAAATGTTTTCTCCTGTAAATGAAGTATTGGTTTAGGCTTATAAATAGTAAAATCACAAAATAACGGAAGCCAATTTATAAACAGATGTTATATATGACTCATTCATGACAAAACTGGTGTGAGTGTGTAAATGAGAAGGGTAAAGCCTGGGGAGAGAGAGACTGATCGAGAGAGAGAGAGAGAGAGCGCGAGGGGGCAGTGGACTTTTGAGTCACCCTGCCACGCCACGTTCAGTACGCATCATGCGTGCACCATGTGCCGAGTGAATGGTGGGTAATAAGAGGGAAAAAAAAGCGAGGGTAATCTGGCAGACTCGTGAACACACCCACATTCTCCACCCCTCGCTGCGGTTTACTTATTAAAGTGTCTGATGGCTTAATCTAATCTCTGGTGCTCCATCTAAACCAGCACAAACAGGCTAATAAAACAGATCCGCCACATGTACGTGTATATTCAATATAAGTTCAAATAGATGTAAGTTTTCAGGGCAATGCTGGAATGATCGTCATGCTAAAGTCATCTGCATGCTTGTGCTGGTTTGTATATGTCTCATCATGCATGAGCAGAGAGCTCTGATCAAAACAGGATGTGGTTGAAGGCCAAGGCACAGACGTGCAGATCCCAGCTACATGTAGGAGTGCATATAAACGCAAAAGAGCTCTTGCTAGCAAAGTTTTAATGAAAAAAGAAGGATTAAAACACAGTAAAAAACACTTTATATACCCCATCTGAGTCAAATGAGTGATGCAGTTAGCACTATGCTAATTGGTGGGACATACACTTACATTTCTGTTAACTACATTAGCCTACACATATACATACAGCCCAAACTACTAGCCTGTAAAAATACTTCCTAATACTACCTAATGGCTACTGTTACAACAAACCTGCATCACTGTAAGTATCTTTTAAAGAAATTTAAATGTACATTTGCTCATTTTTGTGAGCCTATATAGAACAAATATAATAACTACAAAATGATAATAGGCCTAGCAATAATACAGCCCCACAAAAATGAATAAATATATATTTAATTATGCTAAAATATGTACATTTTTAAAAATGAAGCCCTACACATACATTCAATCCCGTAAAAAGCTCCTTATAGTGGTGCAAGTTTGGGCTTTTAGCCAATGTAGCTAACAAACAATGGAAGCGTATAACCCACCAGTTAGCCTTTTGCTAACTGCGTGCCTAAGTCATTGAAATGTTTTCATTATATATAGTGAATAATTGAATTATAATCAGTTTGCTGAATAATATTTAGCTTTTTACCTTCTGCTGTTAAAACAAATGATTACTGTGAAGCTGTTAAGCTATATGTGAAGCTGTAAGGCTATATTCAAGTCCCTACTGTACTGTATTTTTTTCATATGTAATGCATGTAGCTTTTGAATGCACTCCTTCATGCACATTAACAGTCTGAGGTTTCTCCATAAGGGGGTGCTATTAGCATGGAATGCAAGGAACCCACACCAGAAGGATCTCACAAATGCATGTGTTTGCAGTCTTTCATAATAAGGGGTGAAACAGTTTATCGCAAAAAAAATACTGATTTAATCTGCATTATAT